CTGACTAATGATATGGTTTTACCTTCTTGAGGGAGATATTAAAAGAAATAAAGTAGCATCCAGCTGATATTTGATAATTAGTCTAATAGAGGGACTCTTGTGACAGGTAGAGGCAGTGGTTGTACGGGCTGTACAGTGGTTGTACAAGTGCTGATTTGAAAACCCAACTCAGCCTCACACTTTAAACTTTCATAAGAATAATTTTCTCCTTTCCCAAATAGCCCCTAAACCAGAAGGCTATTGTGAAAATAAAATGAGGTAATGCACATAGACTTTTTAGAACTCAGTAAAGTTAGGCATTATCATCATTACTATTATTATTATATCACATTAAAATTTTTAGAAACAAAACCAAGCTTATACATGTTTTAAGTTATCTGCTATAATTTCTATAGCATTTTAACTGAAAATTAATGCAGTATTTCAAGGCGTGGTCATATGCATCCTGAGTTCTTTTTTCTTCAGAAATAGTATGTTTGGTTTTTATTCTGTCATTTCAGTCAGTTATGAAAATAAAAAGGTGAATGGTAACAAGTATATTCCCAAATGTTTATTTAGTTAATATAACAGCATATTTCCTAATATTGAACTTATAGAAACTAAAGCTCTAACAAATTGTTTGCATCTAATTAAATAGTCACAACTTAAAGAATATAACATGCTAACCCAATTAAAAACAAGATATAAAAATCTCGCAAATTTGGGTTTAATTTTAGGTTGACTATAATAGCCTTTACTGACACTGTATTGGAACCAAAAAAAAAATATATTGACTCTATGCTTACTTGCTTATCTAATGAACATTCCAGGTTGAATAGTTGAATAGCCATTAAAGACAGATAAAATTGTGATTAAATTTGGGATTTCATTTTACACTCTGAAGTACATACTCATGGGAATAATTTTCCCATTGTAGGCATGATTAACCATTTTCCGGTGATTTTGGTCACCTTCTTTTTATTTGAAAGAGGCAAGTGGCCAAATCTCAGCCCAATTAGTAAAGGTGGGAGGGAGACTGAAAAAAATGCTTTGTACTTGGTGGAACACTCTCCCTCCAGGAGATCTAATATGGAAAAAATTGCTTGCTCAAAGAACATAGAAACAAAACATATCTTTCCAGCTTTTTAGACTAAGAGTTTTTATACCAATTTCCCTTTCACAAAGTCACGAGTCAAATCCTATGTGAAAACATATTTTCTTCTAAAGGCAATAAAATCAGAAAACATGTAAATCTCGGGAATTTAAGTTAACATAGTAGTTCATCATCAAAGTTGTATTTTTGTTATTTGGGGCTTTTAATTTTTCTTAAAAAATCAAATTTATACACAGTACCTACTAGCATATCTCAACATTAGGGAAGCACAGGAACTCTGATGATCTGTTGATTCAGCACAACTTTTTTCTGCCCCTGATATAATGAACCCCTCTTTCCAGTAGAGAATCTCTTTCCTCTGGTTCAAGTGAGTCTGTCTTCCTGGTTACAGAGGTAGGAAGTCACTGAAATATGTTCAGGTTATCATAATCCTCTGATTTTGGTTTGTTTAGGCATAGAAATGTAGTCAAACTACATCAGCAATATTCTCCCTGGGACTTTTCTAATAATGTTATCAGGGACTATTTTCTCTTTTGGGGGGATTGCAAAGCAAGTGGGGCATGATTATTGGGCCGTCCTAATGTATTCTTCCCACCATATGGCAAAAACCTTTTTAATTTTTTTTTAAATGAACCCAATCATCTGAGAGCTACAGATTAGTGGGGAATCCTATGACATCATTAGAGCCTTTGAATCTATCCACATCTGAAATCAGCTATAATAATGGACTTCCTCATCAAGGTAACCAGTAAGTTACATTTTATGACTAAACAGAATTGATTTGGAATTTTGTCTCTAAAACATTGGAGCCAAAACATTTCTAACTAACAGTTTGAGAAATGCTGGTGCAGTGGAAAGATTACTAAGAAGGTTACATTTTGCTTCTTGCTTAGCTTTTAAAGCCTGAATATTCTCAGGTTAGGGAGTTTCCTGGGCCTCAGTTTCCTGACCTGTAAAATAAGATGACTTAAAGCTCTTCTCCATTCTGTAATCTAAATATCTACAGATTATTTTCCTTCTCACAAAAGCAGAACATGATTATTCATTCCCAAAGCGTATACCAAGCCTGGCCAAACTTTTCTCCCCAAATATATCTATGAAGTGATTTTTTTAAAAAATCTGAAACATCTTAGCAGTACATACTCTTGGATAATCCACAGCTAGTATGTGGTTATGACAAGATATTTATAGCTTGCGCAAAAAGTAAATACAGCTCTTACATTTGATACCATATATATGATACCAAAGCATAAGAAACAAAAAATAGATGTGGACTCCATCAATATTAGAAACTTTTGTGATACAAATGATACCATCAAGAAAATGAAAAAGCAAATCACAGAATAGGAGAAAATATTTGAAAATCACATATTTGATAAAGGACTTGTATCTAGAATATACAAAGAATTTTTATTTTCAGTAATAAAAAGTTGAACAACCCAACTAAAAAATGGACAAAGGATCTGAACAGATATTTTTCTACGTAAGACATACAAATGGGGGCAGCTGGATGGCTCAGTTGGTAAAGCATTTGACTCTTGATTTTATCTCAGATCATGATCTCACAGTTCACGAGGTCAAGCCCCATGTCAGGCCCTGTGCTGGCAGTGGGGAGCTTGCTTGTGATTCTCTCTCCCCCCACTCATGCGTGCGCACACGTGCACACTCACTCTCTTTTAAAAATAAATCAATAAAGTTTAAAAACAAAAAACACATACAAATGACCAACAAGCATGTGGAAAAAATAGTCAACCTCATTAGTTTTGTGGAAGTGCAATTCAAAACCACAATTATACCACTTCATACCCACTAAGTTAGCTATTATAAAAAGGTAGACAATTACAAGTATAGGAAAGATGTGGAGAAATTGTAACTTTCACATTGCTGACGGGAGTGTAAAATGATGCAGCCAGGTTGGAAAACAGTTTAATAGTTATTTAAAATGTTAAACATAAAATTACCATATGGTCCAAAAATTCTACTCCTATATATATATCTGATAGAAATGAAAACACATGTCCATAAAACACCTTGTATATGAATGTTCATAGCACTATTATTTTTAATAACCAAAAAGTGAAAATAACTCATGTCCATCAATTGATGGATGGGTAAACAAAATGTCATATATCCACATAATAGAATATTACCTGACAGTAAAAAGAAAGTAGTAATACATGCTATAACATGGAGAAACCTTGTAAACAGTATACTAAGTTAAAGAAGCCAATCACAAAAGACACATATTGTATGATTTCATTTATATGAAGCATAGGCAAATCTATCAAGACAGAGATTTGTGGTTAAGTCTAACCATTGCGGCTAAGGGAGAGTGATGATGGCACTGATTGCTAATGAGTACAGGGGTCCTTTTTAGGGTGATAAAAATGTCCTAAAGTTAGATTATGATGATACTTGCACAATCTTGTGAGTATACTAAAATCATTGAACTGCACACTGTATATTGGTGGATTATATGGCCTGTGATTTGTATGTTAATAAAGCTGTTCTTTTAAAAATTAAATGCAACACAAAACGTGTGTGTATATAAGCGAAGATTTGTGCTGAGCAGAACATGTAGTTTCCTCTCTCTCCTTTGTCAGAAGATAATGTTCATACTGTAAAATCAAATGCATTAAGCAAAAAACCTGCCTAATTTACAGAGCATGCATTAATTCCATTTTACATGTTAAGAACTGTTTTGATTTATATAAGGAAGAGTACATTTTCCTTGAAATTTGCTTTCAAACAGTACTTCTCAACTCATACACAAAAATATTATATTTCCCTTGAGAAAAAATTAGTTTATAAAAAATAACCATTATGCATAATTGAGGCAAAAGGTACAATGATAAACTTAGAAAATATTCACTGGATTAAATAGGATTTATAACTGTTTATCTCTTTTCTCCTGTCAGTAATTTCTTTTCTTTACATTTCTACAGTCTTGTTTGCTTACAGGTGTGGAAATCTGACAGTTTACATACAAAAAAATACGTAGATCTTTGTATTCCACTTGTGACATATTTAAATTGTGTCATTACAACCAATAATAACAAAGAAACAAAAAACAGGAATATTAGCAAGGAAAAGAAGAAAAATTAATGAACTTTAGTCCATTCTTAGAAATTAACCCAAGTTAAAAAGCTTCTATCCCAACTATTTCCCTTCTATGAGTAAGCAAAAGAGAAATTAAGGAAGGATGGAAAAAAGAAAGGAAGAGAAGAAGGAAGCGGGAAGGAGTGGGGTGAATAAGAGAAGGAAAGGAAAGAGAAAAATCAATGGACATGTCTCTGGTAAATGCACATTTTACTTAAACTGACTACAGTGTCCATTATTTTTAGGAAGAAGCAAACAGCACTGATAATACTGAAATCTGTTCCTTTACAGGATCTCTCGTGCTTACAACTACAAAACATAGTTCCATCTTAGTAATTTTTAATATATTCATTTAATTATTCATTCAAACATTTATTTAGAACCTAATATATTCCAAAAGCAATGTTACGTGCTGGGGATCTAGAAATGTTATAATTTTTGCTCTTAGAGATGGTTAAAATTGTGTAAGAGAAGAAACTCATGTACAAATATGGATAATAAAGTGTTACAAGTGGTCAATGAACATTTTTTAGTGTCTGATTGGACAGATAGAATGACATATCTTACATGGGAGTGGTTGATGTGTGTTTGTGTGCATGCACACACATGTGGAGAAAGTGAGAGAGACATAGAGAATATGATACTTCAGTGAAGTTTTAAAATATCAGTAATTTGATGCTCCAGGTGCTTGAAAGATTCAGATACATAAAGAGATGAGGCTTTCCAGGGAAAAAGGGAAACAAATTAGAGATGGTATTTTCTGTCATACCGAGGAGTTTTATTTGATGCTCTAGGCTGGAGGTGCCCGCTATGATTTGCTGTGGTGGGACACAGGACTACTGTGAGAAGCAGTGATAAGCTGGAGGCTAAACCCGGTGACAGGCACTGATACATCAGTGATGTATTCCTGAGAAAGAATAGCATGTATTCCAAAGATCTGCTGCCTCCACTACAAAAAATAAATAATACACTAGAGGTCTTAAGCAATAGAACACTATGACAAGATTTTCATTTTAGCAAGCAAGAGGATTGGGGTCCCTGGGTGGCTCAGTTGGTTAAGCACCCACTTCTGCTCAGGTCATGATCTCACGGTTCCTGATTTCAAGCCCCACATCGGGCGGGCTCTCTGCTGACAACACAGGGCCTGGAGCCTGCTTCAGATTCTTTGTCTCCCTGTCTCTGTGCTCCTCCCCTGCTCACATACACACACACACACTCTCTATCTCTCTCTCAAAAATAAATAAACATTTAAAAATTTTAGAAAGCAGGAGGATTAATCCAAAGATGGCAACAAGGGCAGATATAGAGAGACAAATTGGAACACTGTGATTTCCAAATGAGGCAAGAAAATAATAATGAAGGCTAGAACTAAGAATAATAATAATGGGGATGGATAGGAATACTTAATAGTCAGATATATTAAAAATATCTAATCTGTGAAATATGAGAATTTAGGGAGTGTAAAAACATCTAAACAGATTTTCCAAATTCTGACATGAATATCTGAGTAAGTTCCAAATACTAATATAGGGGATACAGCAGAGGAAAAGGGTTGGTGGGGAAATATCTGAGTACAGATGAGACATTTTGAAGAAGTGCCTGGGAGTTTGTCTAGATGGTTCTGGAAATGAGTAAGGGAGGGCCTTGAAATAGAAAGTTCACACCCATCATCATATCATAGAATGGTAAATGGTGAAATTTCGTCCAGAAGGACGGAAGTAGACAGTGTATTCGAAGTAGATGTGTATGTGAACTGAATTAGAGCACATTTCAGAACGTTAGTGTTGAAGGAATTCAACGTAAGAATGTGTGTTGATAGTAGAGATAGAGGTCCTTGGGACAAGGAACTGGAAAAACCAGGGCATAGGGACAGAACAAGCAAGGATTGTGTGAGTAAAGGAAGGTGAAGGTTCAGGCCTGTGAGGAACTGGAGGTTCTTTGGGGACTTAATGAGTGGAAATCTGGATAGGCCATTTTGGGCATTGGCTAAGAACACAGTCCCATGATGCATTGGGTATGTGCTGTCATTTTACACATACCCAACACAGCTTATTTTTAATTATTTACTCGTGTGAGTAAGTCTGGGTTGTAATTTAAAAATAGATTTTCCAGTGCAAAAGCAGTTGCACAGGAAGAAGCTCCTTGCTGAATTAAGCCTTGCTTAAGTGAGAACCGCTGTTTAAGAATAACGCGTTCCCTGTGAAAAACGATGGCAAATCCATTCCAGCGAGTCTAACCTTTACGGGGGTGCTATTATCAACTCAATGGTATGTTTTTTCCTGTTTCACAAACATGTTCCCAAAAGACTTTTAAAATAGCTTTCTTTCCTGCTAAATTGTTGTGTCAAGCACTTTTTCTGAATCTCAGCCTTAACTGGACCAGGATGTGTGAAAGAAAAAAAAGTGCCCTGTCACGCTTGACACGGAGTAACAGGCCTTAACGACAATAGTAAAACATTTTCCTAACCTGACTGCCCCCTCTCACTGCATCTGAAGACAATGTATTTTCATGAAAATGCAAAATACCCTGAAGAAACAAAAGAAGGGATGATTTCCAAAAAAAAAAAAAAAAAATCAAGTTTAAAATCTGTCCACTAAAGTAGGACTTTTCCCTAATAAAGAGAAAAAAATCACTATAGAAAATTAATAGTTCTTTATTAAAACTTAAAATAACCTAAAAGAAAATAAGCTAATCATATGGAATGGTTCCCTAGGAACCTAATAAATTGGTCTTTTTTTTTTTATTTCTTTTTATAGATGAAAATAAAAGATTCATAACATCCTGAGGTCTGACTTGGTCACTTCAAAATGAATCTCATGCATTGTTGGGGCCCATTTCTCAAATGCAAGTTGGATCATAGTACTGTATGTGTTTGTGTTTCTAGTGACGCATGTTTCCCCACCAGGAATCTTTCTGAGCAGTGATAACCTTGGCAATCAATCTTGGGAACAAAAGTGATGATGAAAGTCAGTAAAAGTTAAAAGCAGTCCAATGGACAGACAACTTGATGGAGCTATGGCTGGAAAACTTACATGAGCTTTTCTGGGGCAAGAATCAATACACCTATCTGAACAGTAGGTTGCTTTTGGCAGCAGATAACATTTTTTTAATAACAGGGGAATTGTATTGGAAACAAAAGACAGGAAAGCAGAAAGCAGAATGCAGGGCATAGAGCACAGGTTTTTACATCTCTGGTTTTGGATACTAGCTTCAGTATCTACTAATTAAGAATATAGGCAGATTCCTAACCTGCAGCCTTAACCTAGATTTCTGTAGCTTTCAGGTGGGCATAATACAACGTATTTTAAATGCATTGTGGGAATTACATGTAATAACCCACATAATCACTTATTACAATCCGGGACGTGACAAACACTTAAAAATTCATCTCTCTCTCCCCTGCAGCAGAAGTGAATGCCTTGGTTTGCTTTCCCTGGGCCCAGGGACAAGATTTGCAATTTTGAGTAAAATTATATATGGATATTTAACAATGCCAGCTTTCAGCTTTCTTTACAGAAGGACTTTATTGGCCACCATAGGCATGGGATTACAATACTCAAGAGTGTGACAAAGGGCACAGTTTCCAAAAGCACTTGCCTTCTTATCAAAACTGCCTCTGCTCTGTACATAACACTGCTGACCCTTGCTCTGTTAGGAGGTGCCTTTTCCTTTATATATTAGGCCTTTCATCTAAAACTGGTAGTAAACACCTATGGCTAAGTCTATCACATCTTCCCTTTATATTCTCGGGACAATACTATTAACGAAGTAAAGTCTTTCCTGCTTTATCACAAAAACATACCCTAAAAAGACTTGGTTTTGCATTATCAACTGTTGGTTCTTATTTGCTTAATCAATTGTTGGATGAAGAAACCAGCGAAACTGAAAGTATAGAGGCATTGCCTGGAAATAGCAAAGCATGATTAGTTGGAAATAAAATGGAGCAGATATAAACCATAAATGTTCAGGGGAAAGAAAGAAAAGCCTGCAGCAGCTCTTACTTAAGTTTATTTTGTTGTACAAAATAATTAAAACTTAATAATAAATATCACATATATATACACATAATAAAACAATTAAAATAATTAAATTAATGATTAGTTAGTAATTAAACAAAATTTACTGTTATGTTTTAAAACGTAATGTTGCCTTTTAATATAAAAGAGTGCCAATATGAGCTTGTGATTCATTTGAGCTTTATCACTTCATTCCTATAGGGAAAGCTTGATTCTGGACCACCCACCCCATCCCCAGCAAAAAAACAAAAAATAATAAAATGATTCTTAAAATACTTTCTTCTTCTGTAGAATTGCATAATTTTTATTTAGTTCTTATTATTTAATGAAAATTACTTGTAAGAAAATGTGTACCTTTAAAAATTGGGAATAAATTATTTAGTGAAGATTTACAGAATATTCAATTTACAATGAAACTGAAATTTTCTGCTACATATCTTCATCATAAAGAAAATCTTACGAGGATTCTGCCCCTGCATAAAAGAGGTACCAGCTGGTACAAAAAAGGAGAGAAAAAAAGAGGATATATAGGGGAACCTAATATTGTTGGTTGGTTGGTTGGTTGGTTGGTTGGTTTCCATGGAGTTTTAACTGACCATTGTTTGTAATGGTATGGTTAGTACCTTTTTTAAAAATGTTTATTTATTTATTTTGAGAGAGAGAGTACATGTGCGAGCGGGGAAGGGGTGGAGAGAGATGGGGAGAAAGAATCCCAAGCAGACTCCTGCTGTACTGCAGAGCCCTTCATGAGGCTTGATCTCACAAACCACAAGATCATGACCTGAGCTGAAATCAAGTCAGATGTGGGGTGCCTGGGTGGCTCAGTCAGTTAAGCATCCGACTTCGGCTCAGGTCATGATCTTACGGTTCAAGGGTTCGAGCCCCGGGTCAGGGTCTGTGCTGACAGCCAGCTCAGAGCCTGGAGCCTGCTTCAGATTCTGTATCCCCCCCTCTCTGACCATACCCTGCTCATGCTGTCTCACGCTGTCTCTCTCTCTCAGAAATAAATGAAAAACATAAAAAAAGTCAGATGTTTAACTGAATGAGTCATGCAGGTACCACACTTGACAGTCTTTAAAAAATATTTGTAGATTGCTTTACTACACAGAATTTAATTGAATCAAAATATCTAAAACAGTGATGTCCAAGAAATATAATGTGAAACCCATAGGTAGTTTAAATCTTCTGAAAGCCACATTGAGAGAGAAAGAGAACAAGGTGGGGAAGGAGAGAGAGAGAGAGAGAGAGAGAGAGAGAGAATCCCAAGCAGGCTCCAAGCTATCAGTGCAGAGCCCTACTCGGGGCTTGACTTCACAGACCATGAGAGCCTAAATTAAGAGTTGGATGCTCAACCAATTGAGCCACCCAGGCACCTCTGCTATGGTTAGTACTTAAAATAAGCAACCAAATAAGTCTTTGATATGTGGTTTGATCCTCTTCTGGGGTGTGTGTGTGTGTGTGTGTGTGCATGCGCATGTGTGTAAGAGAGACAGAGAAAGAGAGGAAGCCAAAACTAGAAGATAAGACCCATTTTCCTGTTTTATTTCCTACTCAGGGAAGGAGTAATGGGAATCAACATCCTTAAAAACACATGTTAACTAACCAACTGGAAAATTTTTTAGTCCAATGCAAAAAGAGTAGACTTTTGGAAAAAAAATAAACTATTTTATACAGTACTAATAATGCTTTGTGTAGGATCTAATTACCGTCTTTTCAGTACTTAACTCTAACTGGACCATCCTTAAGCCTTTCTAAATTTATTTCCAGAGTCTTCCCCATAAGTTATGCCTACACCACAGATAGTTTACTGCACCATTTTTTATGCATCCTCTAATAGCACATTATCACACTAGACTTGGTGAGGTCTGATTCTTTATCTTCCCCACCAAATGTGGGTGCTATTTGAAGGCATTGTCTTACTAATCTTTAGGTC